TCTCTATCCATTCGTATGCTGATGAATACTTCATTTGATGTTTGTTGGTCTGTTAAATTTTGCTATTCTTACTGGGGTGAGATTATATCTCATAGTTGTTTTGTGAAGACCATTTCTTGATTCACACAGTTACACAAGCTATCTAAAATGAACACACTCTAAAAGTGGAGTACCAACTTTTCATTAGACCCAGAGGTAGAAAATGTGAGTGGACACTATATGCCCCACGAAGCACAAAAAGGCTTAAATGATAAAAATCAGTTAGCTTGGAAAAGTAGGATCAAACAAACATGTCATGGTGAGAAAGGTCAAAGGAGCTGCATTACTGTGATAATACACTGGCTGCATGCAGTAAGCAGCTTGGTATTTCAAAGAATGGGCACACAGGGACTGGTTTATTGAGACCTGGCAAGCAGCCTCTGTCGGGAAGTTATGAAGTAATTTAAGTGGCAAAGTACCAGCTTTCATGTTGGCTCCACCCTCCTCCAAGTAGTTTGGAGACTGTGTTTTGGGGAAAAACACCCCACAAAATATTAAGAAGAGAAACTACTATGGAGGTTATTGCAATGCATGACACAGTTTAAGGAGGAAGGAAACAAAGCTAGAAGTAGAGATAGACAGGTTAGGAGAAAATCAAGACATGTCTAAAAACATGGTGTTAGTTTTCTACTGCTAAATTAATAAATTCCCTCATGATCTGGAGGTCAGTTGTAGCATGCCTGAATTATCACAGTTCCCATGGGTTATGATCCTAAACATAGGTTAGCTGGGCCCTCTCTTAGTTGCCATCAAGGTATTGGATGATCCGAATTCTCATTTATAGCCTAGACTCATTGGGAGGCTCATGCTGGTTGAGTTGATGTTCTTGTAGCTTCATGATTGAGGTTCCTGATTTTTTTGTTGCCAGCAAGGGGCTATGCTTAGTTCCTAAAGGCTCCCAGCAATTTCTGTCTCACGATGCATATTGGCAGCCTATATTACTTTAAAGCTATAAATTTAAATCAGATTAAGATGTAGTCTTATAAACATACAGTAATCTCTATATCTGACGTCAGATCACTTCTGCCATATTCTTCTGTCTGTGTAACATATTCTACCTGAACTTACAGAGTGAAACTCCAGGAGGCAGATATCTTGAGGTCATTTTTTAATTTTTCTCATCACAACTATGTAATGATTCTACTTAGAGAGAGTGAAGGAGGCAAGGCAGTAAATCAGAAGTTATAATTACTTTGATCCTTTTTAGTAATAAAAGGGGACTCTCACTGTACAGTCTGTGAGGAGGGGGTGGCTCATCAAAAGAGTGATGCCTGTCTGGAGTTTGAATCCCCCCGGGGCTCAGCATGAGAAAGGTGAGCAGTTACCTTCCATGCAATTTACAGCTTCAAAAACCCGCTGGAGGGAGAGAAGTCAGTCAGGTCTAACTCCACAAAAATGAGTTTGACTGTCAATTAAAAAAATTTTGTTTAATCATTGTAACTAGAATTAAAATGAAAAAAAAATCAATCAGTTCTGGGACCTAACTAAACTTTAGGCCTAATTAGAGTTTAGCCATGGAAGTTATTCACAAGATTGTGATATTTTCCCTACCATGAATTCCCAAAAGTTCTGAGAGAGGAGCAGAGCCAACAGCTGGAAGGACTGACTGAGAGTTGTCGTTGAGCTATATACCAGGAGTAGGAGTTCCATGTGGAATTGAGCATATTTATTTGCAAATTGTCCAGATGATCAAACAACATGGTCTGGTATGAGAGGCTCGTGAGGAATGGGAGAAAGAGGTCTTAACACAGAGAGCAAAACAAAAAAGCTGCAGACCTTTAGGAGGTCAGTGTAGATAGGTTGGCACAGAGAAAATATGTGAAATCCAGAATGATGAACAATGTCAAAAGATTCCTCAAAGCAGAGAGGTGAGGATGGGCAGGGGGGAATCACAGAGTTGCACAATTTGGTGGGTGGAGGGAGGGGGTAAAGGAAATGGGTAAGATCCAGAGGGAACCTGAAAACACAGGGTAATGGTGGGCATAGCCAGTGATGATTAATTTTATAAAACACAATGAATGGGAATGATGGCATGAAACTCAATGCGAATGAAGAATAGTGTGGAACACAATGTATATGAACTTTGTAATCAAAGCAATAACAAACAAAAATAAAAATAGACTCCTTTAAGCAGTGCCTGCTGTTGTATTAAGAAAATGTTGCTATAAAGACCTTGCAGATGATGATGGTTTGGAGGCATCATAAGTTTTAGGGGAACTCTTCAGCACTGAGAAGGACAAAGCAGTATGAGGCTTAAGAAGTGATTTATTTAAAGAGTCAGAGGTCACAGTTTTACCTAAGGTATTAAAAGGACAAGATAGTCAATGTCAGTGTCGTTAGTAGAGGTGAGAATAATAGAGGCAGAAAGAGAGCAATAGTGAAGGTTGGTGAGTAATGTGGACAGGCAGTGTTTACAAGAGATGTTGTTGTTATGTACTGTTGATTCAGGGCTGACTCATAGCTGACCCTTCAGTGGGTTTATAGAAACAGTAGGCCGCACAGGAGGATAGTGCCATTTTCCTCCCTGGAGCAGCTTGTGGATTTGAACCATGTGTCTTTTGCTTAGCAGCTCAAATGATTGCCACTACTAAGCCACAAGAGATGGCTTTCATTTACTATTGAGACAACCTAGTATAGAGAGAGGTGTTGATGGAGTAGAAAGTGCCAGTTATAGTCCTATAGCCTGTGACATCTAAGACTTGGCAAAAGAAACACTGTCCACTGCAGGAAATTATGAGGAGGAGGGTTTTTTGGTGAATATTTGTCAATACATTAAATTGGAGATTTGAACATGCAAGAGGGTTTACTCTACATGGAGAGAAAGAGAAAGAACAGTTATTCTTGAGTACAAATATGATGATAAAAATTCCAAGCACAGTGACCTTTCATTGGCTTTCCAAGCCTGTGAATCTTTATGGGAGCACACTGTTTGATCTTTCCTTATGGATGGCTGGTGGTTTCGAATCACCAGCCTTCAAGCCCAATAAGTCATGTAGTACATCCCGGGGGCTCTTTTACTATAATAGACCAGATTTGGAAGACAAAGGATACAAAGTTAAGCCTTTACTGTAATTATAAATGAATTATTTTTACACATCTTCTAATTGCCTCTCTCAGTATCCAAAGTATATAGGTATTCTTGAAGAAATTGAAGCACTTGAAAAGCATTCTCCCATTGTTTTTAAATATATAGCACCTTGAGATAAAATATTTGTCCACAAAATCTGTCACTTTATATTGTGAAGAAAATCAAAGCCACCTCATTTTTTTCATCTTTAATCTTTAATTATATTTGAATATGGAATTTCCTTTTACTTTGATTTTTATTTTTAGTAGCTTACTGGAATATATCTAGATGATAGTTTTATTTAATACTGAATTCAATAACTCATTTCTGTGAGCAAGCTCATGTTTTTAGGCTAGAACAGTTTATGTCTTGTGTGTTTGCTTATTGCTTCCATTGTATTTGCTTTGATTTTTTTTCTTCTTCAGGGAAATAGCTTCTGTACATCAAGTTTCCTTTTCGATCTTCCATGCTGCTTATTTTATTTGGCATTGTACTTGCCTTTCTTGCTTTATCAAGTATCTTCAAGGGAAGTCTGTCACGTCTGCTCTGTGCTACTCTCTTTGAACACCAGTTTAAGCTTGATACTTCATTTTCATTTCTGCCAGTCTTTCCTTATATTATTTCCCCCTACTGTGGCTGCATTTTTTTATCATAGATTGGTTACATAGTTGTTCTTCATTGTCTTTTAGTTCATAGATTCCATTTTCTTTCATTTTTAAAAAAATTTACTTTTCAAAAAGCTGAACACAGAAATTCCATATGACCCAGCTATTCTACTACTTGGAATATACCCTGAGAAAATGAGAACTGAGGCACAGAGACTTGTACACCAGTGTTCACAGAAGCATTATTCACCATCTCAAGAACATGGAAACAGCCCAGATGTCCAATCACAAACAAATGAATTGAGAAATCATGGGGTATTCACACTATGGAATACTATGCAGCACTCAGGAGCAATGATTTTGTAAATTACTACCTAACTTGGGAGGGACTGGAGAGCATCATGCTAAGTGAACTAGCTCAGTCCCATAAGGATAAATATTGTATAAAACCATTATTGTAGAATGCATATAAGGATCCAAGCAGAGTGGGAGAGGTTGGAAGCAAGGGGATGAAGGTTTGCAGGGGGAGGGGATTAATCATTGGGTTGTACAATTTGATGGGTGGGGGATGAAGGAAATTGAAAGACTCTGTTCTTGAAAACAGTGTATTCAAATTTTGTAAATAAACTAGTAGAAAATTTTTAAAAACAATTAAAAACTAAAAGAAAAAAAGTTTTGTCTATGGTTTGTCCATAAACAGTATACATGAGTTCTTAGTCTCCCACACAATATGAAATCAAGCCCATTGCTGGCCAGTTGATTCCAAGTCACGGTGATCCTACAGGACTGAATGGAACTACCCCATACAGTGTCCATGGCTGTGAAGCTTTATAGAAGTTGACTGCCACATCTTTCACATAGAACATCTAGTGAATTCAAACCAGCCACCAACCCTTTGCTTAGCTGCCCAGTGCTTTAGCCATTGAATTACCAGTTTTCTCCACATCATATCACTTAGTACTCTTTGTATTTTTTTAAAAAAAATTTAGAGAGGCAAATTTGTGTCTGTCTATTGTTAAAATTTCTAGCTTCAGTAGTGTACTGTTAGTCTCTGCTTATATGACATGTGACTTCTGCCATCTTTATTCTTTTCAGTTGACCAGATAAGAATGGTATCATTGCTAGAATGTTGTAATTGATCCCTCTTTTGCTCAAGGGTCAACCAGATTATCTTGGTGGGCGATGAACTACATGTTTTTTTCCTGATATCTAATGACTTCATAGATTTCATCTGTGATAAATCTCAAACCACTTATCATTGACTTTTTGTATGTGTTTTGTTTTAATAGAACATAAAGGAATAAGAAGAGATTTCAGAAATTATGATAAACCCTGGCAACTAAATGCGAAGAAGCCTAAAAAGTCGAAAAGTGACATTGCCATGTCTAATATTTCTCCACCATCACCAGAATCTAAATCATGTAAGGAAACCTTATATGTTAACTGAATGCATGCACATCTATAATATTAATAAAATGAAGAGGAGGTAAGAATTGAAGCGTGAGGTTTCACCTGAGATTTCTGACTGTTAGTCCTAATGAATTGCATTTTAATTTTTGAATTAACATTAAGCTTCATGTATATTTGTTAATTCTGTCAAACGTGTCATTGTTAAATATTTCTGAGTGTTATTCTTCTGTTAGGATTATAAGCAGCATGGAGAAGGCCCCTGGCTCTCACGGCAGCGATTGTATTTTCAAAGACAGTATCAATCCTGCAGTTGCTACATATGTAAAAACACATACATTTTTTACAGAGGAAGCAAAGGAAACTTGTATGCAAACATTTACCAATTTTTATTTAAAGAAGGGAGGAAGCATTCAGAAATACTTCAGTTGGTCTCCCTACTCATTATTTATGACAGAAGTTCTAATGTTTCTGCCAAAAGAATGAACAGGTATGTCTTGGAAAAAGTACAGCCAGAGTGCCCCTCAGAGGCAAGGAAGGGGAAGCTTCATGCCTTCTACTTCTGACATGTTGCTAGGAAAGGCTATTTCTTGGAAAAGGATATCATATTAGGAAGAGAGTAGGGTCAGCAAAAGAGAAGGAGACCCCATCTAAATGGATTGATACGGTGACTGCAGCAGTGGGCTCCAGTGTATCAGAGATGGTGACGAGAGCACCAGATAGGACAGGATTCAGATGTGCTGTTCATAGGGTCGCTCTAAGTCATACGTGACTCTAGGACACCTAACAACAACAACTGCCCACATTTCCTCTTCTCTCTCACTATTCCTCCTTTTTCCTCAATGCTAGTGTATACTGGTGTACTGAGGAGCACACTGGACATTTCAGGAGCTTCTTGCAAATCAGTTTTTATTGGAAAACAGGAAGGTTGAAAGCCATTCTTTTTATAGATTAATTATTTGTACTATTACAGAGTAAGACATTTGATTTTAATTTAAAAGGAACAAGGAATAGATAGAAAGTCTTTAGAGTGTATAGAAAAAAAGTCAGTTAAGTGTTATTTGCAATTTAAATTTAGACTCCTCTGTGAGTTTTTTATTGATTAATTTGTATAGGCAATACTCAGGCTACAAATACCCAATTTATAAACTACTTATGCCTTTAATGTTATGTAACTCTGCCTCCACGCCTATTCACAACAAATTCTTTATCACAGTCATGTTCACTTGATGCCGGTGCAACTTTTAAATCACTAAATAGGCTTCGAGCTTGACCTCCCCACAAATCTCAAAGACACAGTTAGCAGTGGATCTCATTTTACCCCAGGGACTGCTTGTCCTCATAAAAAATTATTACATTAATCACAGAACATTTTTGGGGGGCAAATATGATAACTCTCACACATTTTAATCCAAATTGGTGTATAAAATATAAAATTAGGCTTCAGCTTTTTGAAGTATATGTTCAGTGATGAATTACTTCACCTTACATCAAATAAGTCCTTGGTTTCTTAGCAGTAACCTTGGTATTTGCAGCAACTTTCTTAATTCAAGACTAACTATATAGAATATTTACCCCTGTTCAGTTTTCAGTCATTTACCATTATTTAATGAGGCCTGTGCTGCATTCCCAAAGGCACGCAGTTCAAATCCATCAGGTGCCCCAGGGAGAAAATGGACAGTCTTTTTCTGTGTGATTAAATTGCCTCTGAAAACCCGCTGGAGAGTTAGCTATTACATGGTTCTAACTTTTCGGGGCATAACAACAATAACCCATTATAAGTATTCAGTGAAGCCAATACAACATTTTGAGCACAGAAATTCCCTGGTTTTCTTAGCTGTCAGTCATATCTTCTCTTTGGAGGGTCACTCATCCATAGAGATATAGAAGCTTTCCGCTGGGACCCCTCTTAGACCCTCCCCCCAATCTTAGAGGGTTCTTTGTAGCTTTGTATTACCAGTAAGTAGGTACTCTTTATACATTTTGTGTGCCATTAGAGGGATTTGTTGAATCCATAGTGGGAGTGAGAGCCAACAGGGTCTGGTGTATGCTAAGGGTCATCAGAAGTGCTTTGTCCTTTTAACTGCATATTCTTATGAAAGAGAAGGATCTAGGGATGAGAGAGAAGGGAATAGCTGAAGTAGAGGGAATTTCTTAGACAACAAAGCTTGTGAGTGCAACCCTCTGACTTAGCTCCAGGTGGCTAATAGGTGTGTGAGAATTCAGGTTGGCATGGGTGGGAAAGTGGAAAGAGATGTGGGAAGGTAAAAACCAAGCTCATTTTAAATTAGGAATTAGGTTTTTTTCTGACCCTGACTGTGCAGTTAGCAATGAAGATGGGATTTGCCTGCCATGTCCCTTGCTTAGTGCAGTATGCAAATATAAAATCTTCACATGCACAACCACATCCTCAGTATTAGCCATTATAGTACCTGGAACAATAGGTAAGGACTAAATGAAACAAAAATATTAAAAGAGAAGTTAAAAGAAATAAATTACTTCTCAACCTCCTCTCTCTTTTACATTGGTAAGTCCAAAATCCTATGTGTTTAATAATTTCAGAGGGTCATCATTAGATTTTTATCAGTTTCAGGAAAGAATGCTGAAAGTTTTGTTTGTTCAGGAGAGCATGCCCTCTGTAGGAGTTTATTCTTAACCATTCCCTAGGGTTTTCTTTGTGGTTTGGAATCTGATGGTAACCCTTTCTACTTATTTCATCTAATCTCAACGTTTGGTTCAATCAGAATGTTTGCTGTTTTAAAGCACAATTAATTATGAACAGCATGAGTTTTTTAGGCTTTATACAAATAAAATATGTGTCAGTAAGAATACAATGAGTTCTGGGTTGATTGAAAATAATACTGATATTAAACTGTTCACATACATGATGATAGGCAACATTACAGTGTGTAAAGTATTATTAAAAAATAGCACAAGGAGAGAGAGATTCAGAAGAGGTGTTAAGGTATTAAAAATCCTATTTATATTCATAAGTAAGTATAATGTGTGATTAGACATTATATGTACAACAATGATCTGGGGCAAGAAGTGCATTGCAGAGTGGACTGGGGGAGGAGGAAAAGAGGAGGGAGGAAAATGTGCAAAATGAATGAAAGAAAATCTGGTCTCTCTGTAAACTTTTATTAAACATCACAATTTTTTTTTAAAGGTGGGAGGAGGGGAAGGATGCTGTCTTTTCCCTAGTTAATAGATTTTATTTCCTTGTCAAAGGTCAGGTCACCATAGGTATATAGATTTCTTTCTATGGCTTCAAATCTCCTTTGTTGGCCTTTGTCACTGTACCTGTAACCTAGTGGGGTTTTTTTGTTTTTTTTTTTTTTAGGATGCTCAATCTTATTTTATTTTTTATCTCCAGTGGATGACACTAGTAGGAAAGACTATGAATTGTTTTAGCTTTCAAATCCCTGAAGTTGTATTTAAAAGAAGCACAAGCATCATCTCTCTAATGATTACATACAGATAAAAGAGAATGGCAAGTTTTACAGACAAAATTTGCAGACAGTTTTTCCTTTTGATGAAGCCTTATAAAACTTCTGCTTCCTTGACCTTACCCCATGAGTCTCCACTTTGACTTTGTGTTCTCTGTGTACTGAATGCAAAGTCATAGTTAGACTCAGACAGCTCTCTTTATTCTGCTTGTAAGAAGAGAATGAAGGCCTGAAATCCTTAAGACAGTTCAACAGGGCCAAAGGGTTAAGCGACTCCTGAATTATGAGATAAGCTCTCTGGCAGTTCCTGGTAGAGATGGACCTGACCATGTCTGGGTTGATAGGGAGGTAAGAAATGTGGGTGTGAACTTCCTGCAGAAATTGGATTATGTTGAAAACCACAGTTTGAAATGATAAGCTGGTATTTGTATTTTGGAGAAAAAGTTACTCCAAAGTGGAAAACGATAATCTGTGTCTCTGTATATAGAGTCAACATTCCCCCCGCCCCAATGCAACAGATATCCATATCTTTATTTAAATTCACCTAGGCAGACCTAAGGCTTGGTTTGATGTCATGATTTTTTAAAAATTATTTTCATATTTTTTGGTTAAGTAATAGACCTAGCAATGTCTATCAATCTAACTTTTCCCCCTTCCCTTGGCTTGTAATTACCTATTTGGATTATTAATTCCGTCAGAATTAAAAAAAGAAATAATATTTTATTCTCCCCTCTGATAAGAAATTCTCCATTGGGCCTTCTGGAACGATTGGCACAAACCATAGCTTAATTCAGAAAGTGTCCCTTCCCAGGTACCCTCACCCGTCTGTAGTTTGATGATGGTGTAACCTACTGTTTTGATTACTATGGCTATTTTGTAGATTTTGAGATCAGAGAGTGTCAGACCTTCTACTTTAACTCTAATTCAGTAGAACTCTACATATCCAGGGTCTCATTCTTCCTGTATAAAATTGATGATTAGCATGTGCCCATCATTTCTATTTGTTTTAAATTCTGCCATGGAGCTTTAAATCCTCTCAGTGTGATCAAAGACAAAGTCGTCTTTAGTTTTAATTTTATCCTTTCATTCCTTTCATGTTTAAGGTTGTTAGATTGTCTTTCTGCATTATTCTGCTCTCTTCTTCAATTTTTATTCTTTGAGTTTCATAACTGTCTTTTTAAATGGTTCTTCACTATCAGTCTGTGGGTTCATTTTGCATTTGTCTTATCATATGTCTCCGTTTATCTGAATCCTAAATCTTTCCATTATTTTATTTACTCATTTATTTTGTTGAAGCAAGTCTGCTGTAGAGCTTTCCAAAAAATACTTGAGAGAAAAAAATCTTTTCATTTTTCTGACTATCTTGAATATAGCTTACTTGTGTGCTTTGCTGGGATATAGTATTTTAAATTAAAAAGAATCTTTAATTGGAAGTTTGGAGCAGTTGCTTCCCTTCTTAAGACCAACTGTTGCTATTAGGAATTCTGATATTTTATTTTCTGTATTTGTCTCTGGAAGCTTTTATGAAATATTTTGTTTTTCTTGCCAGTGTTTTGTTGTTGTTGTTGTTTTTTTATTGCCACTATTTTAAAATGTTATAATACCTTTAATTGTGCTGGATATCTACTAGATCCTTTTTCTATTAAATATAATTAAGTTCTTAATTTTTAAGTGGCAGGCTCCAGCTCATGTCCTCATTTAAGGTCCTGCATAAGAAAACCAAAACACTTTGAAAAAGCAAGTGAGTCTTTATGCTCTTAATAACACTGCTGTTTCTATTTTTTTTAATGTTTTTGCTATCCTTCTTCTCTCTCCCTCTGCCTCTCCCTCTATCTCCGCTAGAGAGATCTCTGATGCTATAGTCAGGCACTTTGAATCCACTGGTGTCTCCAGTAGAGGAAGATGGGCAGTCTACTCTCATTGCAGTTTACAGCCTCAGAAACCTAACAGAGGGTTGCTGTGAGCTGAAACCAGTTCCAAGGCAGTGAGTTTAGTTTTGAGTTTGACCTTCTCTTCTGGGAGTCTGATTTCAGTTTTCTCTATATATCCAAAGCCAGTTGCCGCTTCTCAGTGCATTTAAAAAAATTGCAAACAAATATGTTACTACTTCTCTGGTAATGCCTTCTGCCCTAATTTTTTTTTTTAAGAAATCAAAAAGTTCCTTTACTGTAATGAAATTTCAGTGTAAATGAGGATACTTTCATGTGTCTGTGTTTTGAGAACACAAAGCAAATATGTCTTTAAAATATTTTCTTATTGTTGGTGAAGAAGTCAGTAATTGTGTTTTTGCATTGGTTGGTAACTTAATGTAGTCTATATTTTGTGTGGCTCCTCCCCCCATGAATTGCAAAAATTACTAGTTTGAAATATATACATGAATTTTCTTCTTTCAATAAATACCTTTCTGTTCACTTATTCAGTTAAAATGCCTTCTTGCTACCATCTTGTGCCTTTGTTTGCTCTCAAGAAACTGTCTTCAAGAAAAGTGTACTTTGTTCTGTAAATTAATCTTGGTGCCATCTTTCATTAATGAGAAGTATTAAGTTTATATCTTTAGTTAACATGCTTGTAAAGTAACCTTTCTCTTTGTTTTTAACATAGTACCAATGTCAGTCGACCACCCTAAATGGAACTGGCGGACTAAACCAGAGAGCCGTGATTTTGATGAATTGAATCACATCCTTCAAGAGAGCAGGAAACTGGGGAAAGCCCTTGAGAATCTTTCTCGCAGTAAGTTCATTTACTTGCTCGTAATTGAAATTCCTAACCAATATTAAAAGCAGGCACAGTCATTACGGTTGCCAATAACCCACTTGTAACATCCGCCTTATAATTCTACGAAGGTCTAAGGAATTCTAACGGAATGAGATTGCAAATGTTGATTGATTATAAATATCACATGAATCATAGTCAGGCTTGTTATGCAGAATAGGCTGGACTTTACTGGTCTTCTTTCTTCTCTGAATCCTTTTAGTGCCATCATGCCTTGTAACATACTATATTGAAAAAATTGAAAACAGTAGAAAGCAAAACCCCATACCAAGAAACAACGACCCCATAGTTTGAGGGTTTAGGTTAAAGGGTTTGTTCTACTATGTATAAAGTGAAAGACTCGGTGAAAATTTCTTGACCTTCATGGGACCCAGATCTCTTCTGTCCACAAGAAAAAAGATGGTGTTGAATCGACTTCACCTGATTGATGTAAAGTGTTAAAACGATATGTTTTAAGTAAATGATATAAAAATATTATTATTATCATAATAATTGGCAAAAGACAAGTACATAATGAAAGCATTCCGTATATGTAGACATGCATATCTGTGATTGAGTTGTAAATTCATATTATACCACTCATTCTCCAGTTTTTAAGTATTCCTCAACTTTAAAAATATTAAATCTTTTTGGCAATAAACTAACACCATGACCTCATTAATTTTTTTATGCGTTTAGAATTATTACAATATTATGTGGAATGCATTAATAAATTCTATGGGCTATATTATAAAACATATCTGCATTTTTATTGCATAGCTTAGTTTTACAGATTTCATGATTTGCTTCAAAACTGAGAATTGTTAGTTATATTTTTGGAGAACATATAAATGTGTGTGTGTGTGGAGAGAGAGAGAGAGAAAGACAGAGAGACAGAGACAGAGAGAGTTTAGTACATGCAAAATACCTTAGTGATGATTGTTGCTATGTACCATCAAGTAGGGACTGACCCAAAACTGACCCTCTGGCGGGCTTTCAGGTGCAATTAATTGCACAAGAAGAGATTGCCCGTTCTTCTCCTGCAGAGCAGCTGGTGGATTCGAACCATGTGCCTCCGGGCTTGCAACATAGCTTCTTTCCAGTAGGCCACAAGTGCTCCCTAAGTGCTATATGTAAACTAAATATGAAGGAACCTTGATGGCTTTGTGCTTAGTAATGATGGGACCTTTTAGTTTGCCTTTAGCAGGTATCCTTTGCATGACAGTCAAGATAGCCTCTTTTCTGCTAGAGTTTCTTTTTTAGCAAATAATAAGTAAATTTTGAGCTTATCATGGTGCTTTGTTCATGAGAAAAGTCTGATCTATGACAAAGGCACATACAATATCTACACATTTTGAATCTGAGCTGCAGAGCTCGTGAGTCTTCACAGCCTCCTAGTTTACCTACTTGCATGAACCAAGGCAGAGATATATATGATTATTAGGACAGTGCTTTCAATATAGTCATAGTCATTTCTTTTTTTGTAATATGACAAGTGCCCTAGAGGCACTTGTTTTAGTAATAGGTTGTAAGTTGGTATTTGTGTACTGACTCTTGACAGAATTTCAATTACTACTTGTCTACATTTATCACAGAAGTGTCGGCATTCAGGCTGTGGCCAGACCTAGCAAACTACCAAATGTGGTCTGAGTTCTGAATAAGAAGTTTATGGTGCGCTTACCAGGTAGGGGAGCCTGGAGAAATAGGAATGTCCTGGCAGCCACGCTTAGTCAGGAGATAGGAGAGAGGCAGATAGGGGATGTTATTCTTCTGAGAGCCAAAGCAGGAAGCTCTGACATGAGTCACCAGTTCACCAGAATAAGATATCATAACTTCTAGCTTCTGTGATGGAGAGTTGCTTTTGGTTTCATATAATTTTCAAGAAACTTTATTGTTTGTGAGATTTGTAATGTGGTCCATATATAAAGAGGAGGCTAGAGTTGACCATGGAGGTAGGGATTACTCTGTGTAAGGTATCAGAGTCTTTTTGCTCAACAAACCTGAGTCACTGTGAGTTTTGCTCTCTGGCCTGTGATATATTGAGCTACTGCTCCAGCCAGGTTACCAAAGTTCTCAGTAGGGACTGCTGGAGTAATTGAATCAAATGGCATCTTTATTACGTTCTGATCACCTGGAGCTCATTTGTATAAACCCAAACCTAGTTCCTCCATCATCTTGAAATTGATCGTCCTTCATTTTTGTTAGGTCTTGTTTGGCTCACAGTAGCTTCTAGTTATTATTTCTTTCTCTAATCAGATAATAGCTTTATTACTGTTTGTTTTAATTACTGGGAAACATGGGGTATGGACATTTCCTCCACATAATGTCAGAACGAATATTCAGTGTATTGGTCATGTCATGGACCTTTATTCTATGTGCCACAGCCATTCATATCCTCATTTTAATATTCTGTTAAAAATTCTATGCCTCTGTTAGAAATTCTCTCTAGTAAAATGAATCTTTGCTTTATCATAGTTGTCCTTTCAAATAATTCTATGTCATATATATATAATCTAGTTGATATTGGAACAAAAAATATCTTTTACCGATAGTGTCTTAGAAGAATTAAAGTATCTCAGTTCTGTAGTTATCAGTTTATCTAGAATTTGATTCTCATGTTCTCTCATAACCCTCTACTTTGTTGAGTTGGAAGCTTAATGCCATGTGTTCCCCTCTGGCCCTGTCCTGAGGAAAACACCTGGCCTCCCTGAAGGCCATTTTGTTCTCCAGAGCCCACAAGGCCAGCCGCGTGGGTCTGCCCCAGAACTGACAGGGTAGGAAGGTGGAGACCTTCTGATATCTCTTTACTTCTGGAGGCTTGCTGCTCAGGAAATGAGAAGACTCCCAAGTCATATACCTAAGTTTAAACATTGGATACTTTTTAGAAACTGTAAACTCCTTTATTTGTTAAGGCTATTTTCAGGAACAAGTTTTGTTTTCTTAAAAGCCAAATTGAAGTAACAGTAAAGCAATTCAGAGATGCATCTCTTAATTTCTTTTCAGACAGAATCTGACTACATGTAAGTCTGTGTTTCATTTTCAGTTCTAACACACACTAACCCGTTACTGCTGAGATAAAGAAAAGGTGTGTTTCCCTAGGGAAACTCCCCTTACATCTGCCCAGAGCTTACATCTGCCCAGAGTTGGGTTACATTCGACCTTTAATCTTCTGCAGCTGTTTGGTTGATCAGATCATGACAGATCATTATTACACATCTTCACATTATATTATTATACACCTGCATTTTGGGAGAATACTACTCAATCAATGACAGGTGGTGTTGCCAGGTTTCTCTAATGTAAGATCAATTTTACAGTTTTAGCCCTTTGAGGTAGTAAAGAGGGAGTCCTTGTGGTACAATGGTTAAAATATTTGTCTGCCAATCAGTTACTATATTAAACTGAGTATGTCCACGATGATCACACTTCCCTCTCTAGATGTGGCCTTTATTTTACAAGGTCTGTTTCAGGTGGTACCGCTACTACTTATCAGTTTCACCTAAACTGGAATCTGTAGCTATTCTCTAGAGATATAATGAGTAATGTTTTAAGAGGCCAACCAAAAGGTTGGTGGTTCAAATACATGTAAGAAAGGTATGTAGTCTCCTCTCATAAAGCACTGGAAATATGATGGGGGTCATTCTAAGTCAGAACTGATGTGGTAATAGTGGACTTGGGGGTTTTTTTGCCCTCTTTACCATTTGTAGCTATCTTATTACCAAGGCTTGCTAATTTCATTCTAAAATACAATTTAGACTTTATTTCTCTTCTCTGGTCCTACTAATTTGCTCTAGTTTACACTTTTTTTAAAACAAGTTCCTTCCCCCTGCATCATGGCTCTATGCATCCTGTGCTTTTTGAGCTGGCTTGTTATAACCTTCTGTTGTTGTTGTTGTGTATCATTAAGTTGGAACCAAGCCATACCTGTCCCTACAGCGGGTTTTCAGAGACAGTTAATAATCACACAAGAGGAGACTGCTCATCCTCCTGCAGAGGAGCTGGTGGACTTGAACTGCGTGCCTTCAGGATTGCAGCACAGCTTATTGCCACTGGGCCACCAGAGCTTTAACTGTCTGATGCTTTATTTTAAAATCTTTGAGGCTTACTGTAATAGAAGTGTCTTCTTACTCAGAAAATGACCTGAGGTGACTTTCCAGAGATGGAGATCTCTTCTGTCCCATTTTTCTTAAACATCTTCATACATGACCATGAGGATTTTGGAAAGAGACAGTAGCAGACCATAGGGAAGCCTTAAAAACTAGCCTTGGAGGTGGCATCATCATGTCTGGTTAGATTCTTTTGGTTGGAATTCTGTTAGATCCCTACCACTAACTGCAGGACATTTAGGGTATTGTGTCCAGCCTCTGCACCTAGGAGAATTATGGACATGGTCCGAGGGATGAATAATCAGTCTTACCCACAGATTCTTCTTTTCTTTTCCTAAAACTAGCCTTCACTGTGATGGATATAGTGTGCATGAGTGGGCTGACATATACTTGTTTCAGATGTATACTAGCGTCACAAACCTTACAGGAGGTGATTCGTTATCTGGCCCTGAATTACATCTCCAGCAGCATCTCTCTTGGCTCATTGTTAAGCCATTTACACACCAGCAACAGATATTGCTCCCTGTTAATACACAAAGTTTGTGTATTAACTTCTATTTTCCCATTTGTGTATTAACTTGTATTTTCCCATTTCCCTGGAATCTCAGCCTCACCTTTCTCAGCTGATGTGTTTTCCAATCTAAATACTGTTTCTCATTTTATATTGAGCTTAAATGTAGCTTCGTCCAAGATAATGTCTCTATTTCTGATCTTCCTGTCTTTGAAATTTAGTTTTCTTCTTTTTTTTCTCTAGTACTTTGCTTTGAATACACTTACCACTAAATTTGCTGCAGTGGCATTTTCCAATGATCCCCTCTCTAGACTTTGTGCACCCCAAGGGCCAGAGCACTGTGCTACACGACTCCCAGCCCG